ATTTAATTTAATTAATTAAATTTATATGCCGCCCCTCTCCGAAGACTCAGGCTGAGGAGGTTGTAGGAAAAAAAATGCTTTTAAAAGCCTCTAACGATCCCAGCTGAGTTGCCTGAACGTCATATGATACAGCAACTAAAAAAGACAGGTACAGACTCCAACAGATAGTTAGAATTTCAGAAAAAAACATTGCCTTCCATAGAATACCTGTATATTTCATGGGTCAGAAGGAGGGCTGAGAAAATATCTACAGACATAAACTGGACATAAACTGTTTCAATTCCTCCAATCAGGATGCTGCTACAGGGCATTGCAACTAGACACAGTTGTTTCCCTTGTGTCATCACTGCTGAACAACTAATCCTCACAGTATTGTTTTATATCTAAGTATATTTACCCATGTTGTATGGCTGTAGTATTATTTTTATCCTTTTCATCTTTTCTACTACCCCTCTCTTATTGTGATTATTATTACTCTGTTGCTTTGCATGTACATTGAGAGCTTCTGCACCAGGCACAAATTCCTGTCCCATCCCTTTCCATCCCATCCCTTCCCATCCCATCCCGTCCCATCCTGTCCCGTCCCATCCTGTTCCATCCCGTTCCATCCCGTCCCATCCCATCCCATCCCATCCCATCCCACCCCACCCCACCCCACCCCACCCCACCCCACCCCATCCCATCCCATCCCATCCCTTCCCATTCCATTCCATTCCATTCCGTTCCGTTCCGTTCCGTTCCGTTCCGTTCTGTTCTGTTCTATTCTATTCTATTCTATTCTCAATATTAACCATAATGAATCAATTGTTATTACTGGCATAAAAGAATAGGATGGGTAAGAGTATTGAAAATCACTCGATTTCAACAACAATGCACTTTTTTTAAAAAAAAATCATCTATCTATATTTCTGAAGTTTTAACATGTTGCTCTGTAATTGCCTGAGATATAAAACAGAATGGGATTTGATCTCTCCACAGGCGCTTTAACCAGCGTGAGACAACTTGTTTAATTACTTCTCTGAATTCTTATGGCTCCTGGAAGAGAATTGGAGGAAGAATTTCCTCTATGTTAAATCATAGAGATGACTTTAATCTGCCAAGTTTAAAGGAGAGGAAAAAGTACAATCTTTGTCTTCTTGTTTAAAATTGCTAATATCCGTACAGTTTCTGAAGGACAACAAGAATAAAGTTTGTGTGTGTGTCACAAAAAATTCAGTCACCTATTTATTTCAGCTACCACGTTTTCATTTTTAATTTGGCTCAAATCATCAATGTGTAAAATTGTGCCAATGCACAATAATAGGATGTTCCTCACCATATTTGAGTTTAGATTTGCAGGTTTCCCTAGAAAGCTAGAAATGATGGGGGCTTCAGTTGCAAACAAAACAGTGTACTATTTTGTTGACAAGACAGAAAGCTTGGATCCCCCCACCCCCCGTTTATACTGGATTTGATAGAACGCAGAACCTTCATGCTTCTTTCAAATAAAATGGGCCAAAACTGTACAGCTCTCTCTCAAGTTAGTTCAAAGATTAGGTCATGAACAAGATCCTTGATACCATTTAGCTCAGTGCGAATGCTCCAACTTGAAATGCCAAGGTAAAATCTGTCAAGGTCTCTAAGCACTGGAATTTTTCAACATGTAGCAGAAAATTCTGATAGAAAAATCTGTCAGGCCTGAAAGCCATCTTTTGCATTGGGCCTTCAGGCCTGCCACATTTACTGCTGTGGGAAACTGGGAGGGGGGATTGTATGGCGCAGGGGAGATATATAGTCATAATAACATTCCTTTCTCAGAGAGTCAAGGACATCTTGCCCTGCACCTGGAGGGGTGTGATTGGGAGGCATCTCCAGCTGGGACGGTGCTTTCATTGGACCATGTGATGGGCATGTGGGTGCAAGGCAGGGACTTGGACTTTCTTTTGGGTGGGGAAAACCTGGAAGCTTTCAGATTCGGGTTTTCCCAGATGTGCCAATATGACATCTTTAATAAAATGGAACTTTGAGGAACTTCAAGCCTCGGAGTCTTCTTTCATTGGGGGTGTTACTTGGAACCCTGATAAAATCATTCTGTTCTCTCATTCCTGGCCTTCCCATCCAGAAAGCCCAACCTTATCCATTCTCTAACTCCAGAGATGAACCTCCAACCTCCAACTACCGTTCCCATTTTATAAATGCCTGAGGCTGCAAAATCAGATGAGAGTTCTTTTAAGAGTCTAGAATGCTGCCCCTTCACAGAGGACGAAACTCGTCTTTCTTCTGTAGTTTTAATTCTTGCTGTCCTCTTCAGAACAGAAAAAAAGTAGCTTTTGGCAGAAGAAAATATTTAATGAAACTTGATTAAATGGGTGGATCTACACTCTATTTTTTTCCCCCAGAAGCAAAAATCATGACAATGTCCTGACACATCCATATTTTGTTCCCATTTGCAATGCATCATAAGTTTGGTAACAGCAAAGCTGTTTTTGAATGCTCGCTGTTCTCTCATGTACATATGAATTTTCAAATATATTTGGAAGAAAAGTTATTGTAAGCTATACAGGCAGGTTTCTACAAAGAGTTCTGATTTTGCAAAATAAACCAAGTAGAACAAACCAGTGGTGAAATGTAAAATTTGTTACTACCGGTTCTGTGGATTTGGCTTGGTAGTGGTGGTGGGTAATGTGACTGGGTGGGCGTGGCCAACTTTTTTTTTTCTTTTACTTTTAAAAGCATTTTTTCTACAATCTTCAGCCGAAGAGGTTGCAGAAAAAAATGCTTTCAAAAGCCTCTGATGATCCCAGCTGAGCTGCGCGATCATCAGAGGCTCTTCTTTTTTTACTTTTAAAAGCATTTTTTCGGCTGAAGACGATGCAGAAAAAATGCATTTAAAAGTAAAATAAAAGCCTCTGATGATCACGTAGCTCAGCTGGGCACGGGAGGGGGGCAGCAGGGATTTTTGCTACCGGTTCTCCGAACCATCAGCCACCATCGCTACCGGATCAGGCAATCCAGTCTGAACCGGGAGCATTTCACCCCTGGAACAAACTAATGTTTGTTGTAGTGTGGTGAGACTGCCAGGCCAAATTTATTGCACTGGTTATTGCCTAAAAAGCCATCTGTGGTGTGGGACTAGATATGCCACAAGCCATCTTTACCAGTAATGATTCTGTCCATCCAGCCCAACCATCAAAGGTCCTAACTTCACAAGTGAGTCAGTGGGGAGGACTGGATCAAAAGGCAGAGTTTTCAGCCTTTACAATGTGGAACATATTACCTCCAGAAATGTGATTAGTCTCTATCCTAATTAAATAGGCTCTTTTTTAAAAAAAAAAAATTTCTAATAGACCTTCAGATCTCATACTGTGCTAATTAATTAACAACCATCAATTACTAGTATTGCTTTGTTCTTTTTGAGATGCTCTAGGGTATTATGGGTTTGATGTATTGTATAATACCCAACATTATTATGATGAGGTGATATACAAATATGTATTTATTTTCTGTAAATTGTTAACTATAATAATATACAGAGGAATTATTGAGTCTGCCATCTGCACCTCCATAATTGTCTGGTTTGGTTCTGCAACCCAACAAGACAGACACAGACTTCAGTGGATAATTAGAACTGCAGAAAAAAGAAACTGCTACCAACCTGCCTTCCATTGAGGACCTGTATACTGCAGGAGTCAAAAAGAGGGCTGTGAAAATATCTAGAGACCCCTCACATCCTGGACATAAACTGTTTTAACTCCTACCCTCAAAATGACGCTATAGAGCACTGCACACCAGAACAACTAGACACAAGGACGGTTTTTTCCCAAACACCATCACTTTGCTAAACAAATAATTCCATCAACACTGTCAAACTAGTTATTAAGTCTGTATTACTATTAATCTTCTCATCGTTCCTATCACCCATCTCGTCCCACTTATGACTGTATGACTGTAACCTTGTTGCTGGTATCCTTACGATTTATATTGACTGTTTCCTAATATGATTTGATTGCTTATTTGTTCCCTATGACTATCATTAAGTGTTGTACCTTATGATTCTTGACGAATGTATCTTTACTTTTATGTACACTGACAGCATATGCAAATTCCTTGTGTGTCCAATCACATTTGGCCAATAAAGAATTCTATTCTATTCTATTCTATTCTATTCTATTCTATTCTATTCTATTCTATTCTATTCTATTCTTACTATGGCCAGTGTGTAGACTGAAATTTGTATAATAAAGTTAGGATTTAAGGATAAGTAAAACAAACATTATTAAGTGTAGTCTATGTTGCAATGTAATATAACGACAAAACATATATATGTGTGTTGTACATGCATGTATGACTGAATGGATTCTTTGAGATTTAATGTACTTCTATTATGAAGCAATTCAAAAAAGTCAAATTAATTTGTGTGTGTATGTGTCTTTTAATAACCCCATAATCCCTTGCATCGGGATGGAGTCGGGACAACTGAATGGAGCTGAGTGTTTACTAGCTGGATGCCCTTCCTGTTGCCAATGCAGAGCTCACAGAAGATATTTATTCATTGTGCCCAAAGAGAAATATCTGCCACTATCTAGGATTGAACTCACAGCCTTCTGATTGTGAGGTGAGAGCTCCACCTCTAGGCCACTGCACCACTCTAAAAAAAAAAAGCCAAATTAAATTTTAAAAATGTTTCAATATTTTTTTCAAAATATTTCAATATGTTATAATAAGAAAATTTTTGAAGCAACAGAATTGTCCAGAGTTATTATCCTCGTGGCATATAATAACTGATATAATGTAGGCGGACACATGCAAACATATATAAAATCAGCATTTTTTGTCCTTTTTCTAAAAGTTCATTTGAATGAAAGATAGATTGCTTTTGAAATGTCTTGTAGAAGAGAATCACATTTTTTTAAAAAAAATAAATAAGCCAGAAGCAATGTGTGAATGTGCTGCTTTTTGCTGAACAATCTTTCCAGCGAACTGCAATTTCCTTGATTTCTCATTCTTTAATTAAATTCTAGAGGAAGACTTTATGAAGGAGTTTCTCCCATTAGTTTTTTTTTTCATACGGGAAATATGAGAACTCAGAAAGGTTTCAGAACGATGAAAAAATGGATAACAGAACATTACAAGGTATCTTTTTTATATAATAATTTTATTGTATCATACTAAGATAAAAATATAGACAAAACAAAAGTTATAAAAACAGAAAAAGCAAAAAGTGCAAAGAGATTTTAAAAAGTAAAGACTTCTGACTTTCTTCAGTGCAGTAGTTTTAAAAAATAGCATATCTACATCAACTTTTTGCTTGACATTTCACAACATTTCAAGCTATTTCTATAATGACAAAATCATTCTAGTTATCGAAACCTAAAATCAATTTTTTTTCCCCTCATTTTGAGCAAAAAGTCGGGAAGTGATTTTCAAGTAGAAACAAAACTAGAAAAAATTCTCTCTTTAATTAAAATAGTTAATTTTTTCAATTTCTGCTAACTCCATCATCTTTACCACCTAGTTTTCCATTGTGGAAACAAGATACCTTTACCATATTCAAAAATAAACTAAATTCTACTCTCCCAACAAAAATTCAAATGGACTCTCAGTTCATAGGGTGATTTTTAAAAAAAACCCAGAAGTCTTTTCATAGCATTTTGATCCTACTTCCCTGATTATCTACATTGTCCTTCTCTGAAGCTGTTCCAGATTTATAAACTTAAACTCACAGTGAGATCTGACCAACAAAGAATAAGATAAATATTTTACTTTTCTTGGTAAGAAACTATCATGCTTTTTTGCTTATTTTATAATAAAATATTATTCCAAAATATTTTTTCACAACCACAAAGTCAGATTTCGTCTATCTACCTTAAACCTGTACAGTACATTTGATTTCTGTTTCAAAACGAAGAACTTTGAATTTATCTTTGTACTATTTACTTGAGAGCTTAAGCATTTTTTTAGTCTTTATTTTTATTTTGTATATGAAGAATATAGTCACAAGAACTTATTAATTTTTCACATTTAAAAAAAAAGAAATAAAATAGGGATGAACCAGGGAGCAACAAGTCATAAATTTATAAAATCTAGTATTTACATGAGTTGGATGCATATAGATAGAGACATGTTACATGTGTAAGCTATATATGTCCTTTGTTTTCTTCTTAACATCCAAGAGCAATAGAGTTGGAAGGGTCTGTTTGGGCCCCCAAGTACATCTAGTCTGCCAAAATCTAAATGAAATCATCTGTGTCAGATGGCTGTCCACCCCTGATAGAAAATTGGTTATGCAGTCAAACTGGTCTTACTATCAAGAAATTTTTAACTTGAATCTGATTTCTTATCATTACAATCCTATATATGAGGGGTATCAAACTCGATTTTATTGAGGGACACATCAGGGTTGTGTTTGATCTCAAGGGGCCGGGGCAGTGTGGACAGGGTGGGCATGGCCAGCTTGACATCACTCGTGTCAGGGGCGCCTGTGGTGGCTCAAGTGCTCTGCCAGTGAAAACGGGCTCCCAATCTCCTTTTTCAGCTGGGGCAGCCTCCTGCAACCCTCTGCCAGTGAAAATGGAGCATGAGGCCCTCCCGAGCTCCATTTTCGCTGGCAGAGGGTTGCAGGAGGCTGTCCCAGTCAAAAACAGAGATTGGGAGCCCGTTTTCATTGGCAGAGGCACCATGGGCCGATCCTTCACTCTTTCCAGGGTGGCCCCATGAGCCGGATCTAAGCACACGATGGGCCAGATCTTGGCCCTCGGGCATTGAGTTTGACACCTGTGCTATATATTGTTTGAGTCACCTATCAACTAAGATGTGTAGATAAATGTACTTTTTTTTTTTAACTGTGTCACCTGAATCAGAAATTCAGATTTACGCACCTTGGCCCAAGCAGCCATTTCTTCACAATCCAAGTATTTTCTTGGCTTGCAAATTTAGTTTGTTGAAAAACAGCACTGACCACGACAGCTGGCGATTCTAAATGCCATCGGCCTAAATGTGAGGGAGGTCCAGGAAATCAAAATCTATTTTCTCACACTTCCAGTTCAGAGGATAGCAAAACAATAAATATAAATTTTAAATACAACTTGTCCAATAGAAGTAGATGGTGATAATAAAAAAAATGCACTGATTTAGATGCTGCCATCTAAACATTTTTAATTCAATGAGAATTTGGATATTATTGCATACACGAGCTACAAAACTTTGGAGAAAATATATATGTTCTCCAAAGCTTTCTACCTCATTTATGCTAAGAAATTAGATTCAAGTTAAATTCTGTGTGTGTGTGTGTGGGTGTATGTGCGCGTGCGCGCATGTACCTGCGCATCTGTGTGTTGAATTATATTGCTCCTCTGTTATTTAGTGTTATCCTTTCCCAAGAAATCCTCTGCTGTTTGCATAACTCCTTAAACTCCTTAAAAATCTGTTTCTTCAAACTTACATGCATGAAGAAGGGCTTTGCTCAAATCTGGTCTGGCTTTGAAATCCCTTTTGTACACCAAGACTTTTTGTTTCTCAACCAGTCCCTGCAAAACAGCCAGGGAGCTGCAAAGAGGTTTATGGGCTTTGGGCTTAAAACTGGACACTTGGCCCTCAGTGGACTTTGGGGAACTGTGACTTTGCAGCTTATCCGTCCCTTTAGAGTTTTAATTTGGCACTACCTCTAAAGACATGAATCAGTAGGCATCCTCTTATCTGTCCTCCAAGCATAACAGAATGCCCAAGTTTATTAGTGAAACTAGATCTTTTGCAGTCACGTAGATTGAAAATGTAATTTCTGGGCCCTTGGATATGCTTTATAAAATTGATAAGCCATTCGCACTGTTTCTGGTAACTGAACTGGCTATGTGAAAGAAAAGCATTTTTTTCTTTTTCTTTTTTTCCTTTCCTTTCCTTTCCTTTCCTTTCCTTTCCTTTCCTTTCCTTTCCTTTCCTTTTCTTTTCTTTTCTTTCTATTTAGATAGCCAAAGGTACAAAATACAAAGTCTTCTTTTTAAAGAGACGTGATATTTGGATCCTCTGAAGATTCTGAAAAGGTTATCAGGCAACACCACTGTATTAATAACACAATGAAATCACCTGACTGAAATGGACTGCCATTTTTTTAAAAACACATTATTTTGGAGGAAGTGAAATAATGGAAGTGCATCTGATTCATTTTATTAAACCAGCAGCTGTCTAAAAAAAAATAAGGCCATCAAGTTTAATATGATCGGCTTCTAGACCAATATTTCACAGTGACGAAAAAGATGTAACCTGGAAGTCATGTAGAACAAGATTGGAATGAAGCTTGGAGAGATTTATGTTTGTTTCTGAGGTTGTTTTAAATTAAGCTTGGAACCACAGTATGTAAACAATTCAGCATACATAAAATAAAACTCATTGGTCTAAATCAGGGGTCAGCAACCTTAAACACTCCCCCCATTCAATTCTGGAGCCAACCAGAAGTCCAGTTCCCCCCACCATAATGTCTCCTCCTAGAGCAGCGTCCTTTTTCCTCTACCTGTCCTAACTGAAAGCCCTATCAATTGTGGAGCCAACCGGTGACAGGGAGCCGCAGCAGAGGGATGAAAGAGCCACATGCGGCTCCAGAGCCCCTGGTCTAAATTAAACCCAAACAAATGCATGCCAAAGTTCTTTTGAATATGTTTATCATTTTTTCAACTTTACTATGTGCCTGTTCAATTTTTCTGTCTACATCAAGGTATAGATAATTCAGATACATAACATCAGGATAATTGCAGCAACATGAAGCATAGTTCGGCAATTAATGTTGCCATTAAAACTTTAACTTTGATGCAAATATGGATTTCCCATCTCCTTATAATTTAATTAGGCACTTTCATCAATTCATTTTTTTTCTTACCTCCCTATACTAGCTTAGAACATGGGGACAGCATAGGGGGAAGTAGAGAAATATAATTCAATATGCCAGTAACAGAAATCCTATAGTCAGACCAATATTCATTTGTTTGTTTACTTTAATTTCAACATTAAACTGAAAAACACAATCCATCCAATGTACAATTGGACAGTATTGCTTTGCTGCGGAAGTGTTAACAAATGGAACACTAAGCTTCACACTCCATTTCTAAATCTGCTTTTTTATTTTAATGTATAAGAATTCTGTGAGTCAATTACCTCAAGAAATTTCCAATTTTCCATCCCCACAGAGTCCCTAAAGTCTTATCAAAATGTTATGTTTTAGAAATGTCACATCCTTTTCTGAATCTTCAGGCAATGTGTTTTATATGTACATGTGTAGGCAGCTTGAGGGGTTGTGAAAGTGCAAGGGAGGGAAGGAAGTCTGTGCGGTAACCATTGTTAGCAAACAGATCAAGTAACATGCTTAAAACTTTGGAAGCAAAGAAAACTATTCCCCTAAAAAACAGAAAAGAAAAAACAATGTTCTCAACTAATGAAAAGTGTGATAGATTCATTAGCACAATGGGGTGTCTGATTACATTTGTTGATACAAGATTAGTTTTTGTTGGCCTACAGTCAACAACCTTCTCTGCTGAGCAGTCCACAAACTCTCAGCTCCCGGGCAGACAGGATGATTAGAGCCATTGACCTTGATGGAAATGTTTAGTTTACTGTTTTCTCCTGAATGCTCCCAGACATTTTGGTGCCTATGTAAGCACCAGACTGGCCAAAGTCACTCAGTATAAGTCATAAAACATTGTAACTGAAGGAGGTATTAAGTCTCTCACAGCTTCAGGGTGGTTGAGTTGGAAGTACAGTTCTGAATATCCTTAGTAGTGTTTATGATTCAGAGGTTGCTTCAACATTTCAGTTTTGATCCCCTTTATATTTTGGATCTCTTTTAATTTTAATTAAACCTGTCACAAATTCTTCACTCAAATAATTTCCCCCATTCTCTCCCATTCTCCTAGATAACAAATATTCATGAAAATATGAGGAAGATTAAACAAAGAAAGTTTCTAGGGATTAAAAGTAATCTATTTGCAACCACCTAAACTCTAGTGTCATCGTAGTCCTCTTGTGAACAGGTCATTTCACATTCAGTCATTTCTTTTTCCCTTCAAATGTTTCATTTTGTCATCTAAGCACAGTGGATGTCAGATGAATTTGTTTTAATTTGGATTTGCAATAAACCTTGTGGAGTCATGAACACTTCTGGGGCTTATTAATAAGAAAGTCTAGAAGGATAGTTTTTTTTCTTAAAATACAGAATATATCCATAGAGGTGGTGTGGTGGCTCAGTGGTTGTCAACTGGAAAGCTGGCAGCCTGGGTTCGAGAACCGAGTCCACATGATGGGTGAGCTCCCATCCTTGCCCCTGCTCCTGCCAACCTAGCAGTTTGAAAGCATGCAAATGTGAGTAGATAAATAGGTACCACTACAGTGGAAAGGTAACAGTGCTCCATGACATCATGCTGACCACATGGCCATGAAAATATCTTTGGACAGAGCTGCTTCAATGATCTTGAAATGGAGAAGAGCACTCCCCCCTATAACAGGGGTGTCAAACTGTTGGCCCACGGGCCAGATGCATCACGTGCAGGCCATGCCCACCCCAGCTCTGCAAATGGGAAAAACATCGCAAAACATCACATGACGGCAACGTGACACAATGAGTTTGACACCCATGCTCTATAATCAGCAATGACTAGCAAAGTAAACTCTGAAGGGACTCCTTTAGCTTTTTTTAATATCCATAGCACATCAGTTAGAAAGAATTAATGAGTGCAAAAAAGCATATACCACATTTTTCGGCGTATAAGACGCACTTCCCCCCCCCCAAGAGTGGGTGGAAGTGTCTGTGTGTCTTATATACTGAATGTTGCTGAAATCCCACCCACCCGCTGGCTCCCACCCTTTGGCTGTTTTCGGCCTCCGCGTTTTGAATTTTCAGCCTTTGCAAGCTCCATTTTAGACCGGTTCCAGGTTGCAGGGATCGCCACAGCACATCACCACTAATCGCTGCCTTCTCACACCCCATTTTTGGCCTCCGCACATCATGATTTTGGCCAGTTCCAGGCAGTGGGGATTGCAGCCGCCGATCCCTGCCGCCTGGAACTGGCCAAAAATGCAACACACGGAGGCCAAAAACGAGGCATGCGGAGGTGGTGATCAGTGGCAATGTGCTATGGCAATCCTGGCAGCCTGGAATGGGTCTAAAATGGAACATGTGGGGGCTGAAAACACAATGCGCGGAGGCAGCGATGGGCTGTGCCGATCCCTGCAGCCTGGAACAGCTGATTGGCGGTATTCTGGGAGGCCGTTCCAACCGCCAATCAGCTGCTTGTGCGGAATCAGGCTGCGATAACATGCTGAAGCTGACCAGGCTGTTTGCTGCAAGGACGCTAGGCAGATGAAGTACCGATGGATGCTGGTAGGCAGAGGCAGATTTTTTTTTCTTGCTTTCCTCCCCAAAAACTAATGTGCGTCTTATACTCCAGAGCATCTTATACTCCAAAAAATACAGTATATAAAATATGTATGTGTCAACTCTGAAGTGAAAATGGCTGAAGCTATCTTTTGCTGCCTCATAGTTGCCACATACACTGACAGGGGGAAGGGAGGGGGAAGTAGATAGATTGGCTAGAAGTCAAAACAAAAAGCTTTCTTGTGCAAACCAAGTCATCCCAACAGGTGGCAGTTGGAGGAGGAGAGGAGTGACCAAGGAACCCACCAAATGCCCTAATTGGACAATGTGACATGTGACATTTGGTGGGATAATTGCTCTTTTAATTATGTCACAACTGCAGGAAAACTTTCAGAGTTGCTTTCCACTAGCTGTGCCAATATGATGTATCCAATAAATATGTGCTTTGAGGAATTTACCTGCCTCAGAGTTCTGGTTTTGATGGATGCATTACTTAGAACGCTGACATTGTAAGTATCTTTTAAAAAGAAGCAGAAGTAGGAATGGGCTTTTTGGTTCTTTTTTGTTCAGAAGTCTGCATTTGATATGAATAATGGTTGGGAACCATGAAGATGAAAACAATATGAGAATAAGTATGAAAACAAATCAAATATACATCTACTAGTCTGTGCTATGTATTGGATCTGATCCGGAAAGTTGCTTCAGAGAGCAACAGGAATGTGATTGTACTGCAGCAAAATGACTCACTAAAAGTAGTTATGTTTCTAGAACTGTGTGGTTTCTACTGCATAGTAAAAGGAAGACAAGCCTTGTCAATGGTCAGATGTAAAAAGTGTGTTTTGCCCCATTCCTTTTTGTAAACAGCTGTATAACTTTTCTTTATTTGTTGTTGATTGCAGTTCTATGAGTTCATGGAAAAATTAATGGAAGCATTGAAGAGTAACAGTGACTGTGTAACAAAATGGCCAGGAATGAAGGCAAATATATATTTCCCAGGATAATTTTGCAGGATCCAATCTGGGTCGGTCACCAGGACCAGAGGTTTAGCCTTCTGAGATTTTGGACACATGCTTGAGCCCATCCTTAGGGAATTTCTCCAGCATGTGATCAAAAGCTCAGAAGACTAAATGTCCGATCCAGATTGGATCCTGCATAATGGCGACTTTCACACTTAAAACGTTCTCCAAATTTTTCTTTTCATTCCTTCTTTTTGCCCACTTACTTTAAATCATCATAGTTTTCCTTAGTCTACTGGAAGGTGTATTGACACAGAGCAATGATCCTATTTTGCACCATCATTGTTTTGTATTGAATATGTCAGTGAATGAACAGACTACTGAAGATTAATATATAAGAAAGTACACCCATTTTTGTGTATTAAGTTCTGATGTATAATAGGTCCTTTCTTTCAGCACACATTGGATTAATTTGACTTCTGTCACGTTGTACTTTGAAATGACTTAAGGTAATGTACTGGAAACAGACCCTCTCAAATTGCAGCCTAAGTAGGCCTGTCAAATTTTTCTTGAAGAAGGAAGTGCAAATTGCAGCTTGTTTTAAAACATGCTTTTTGAAGAAATGTGAAGTTCAAGGCTTACTATAAGGAAAAGTCACTAAAACCACATTCATACTGCACAGGAAAAAAATGTTAGCATGATAGCTATAACTCTAATTGCATGTTAGTTGCAGAGTGGTCTTAAAGTTGTTCTGGATTTTCAGAAATTTGTGACAGCACAACTGCTGAATATTTTTTTCATTTTCCTTTTTTTAAAAAAAAAATCCCTATAATATAATTGGATTATTTTGGATCTGCCATCAAACTTTCTTACAAAGGAGAAA